TATATCTTTGAGCTATTCTTAGTGAATAAACTGTTATCTGTGTGAGTACATTGTTGGTGGTAGTATCTGGCACGATATTCCAGTTATCGTATATATTGCCAAGCGAGTGAAGATTGATAGTAAAGACCCACGAATACACGGTAGTCTGGGAAACTCCGTGACATAAAGGACCTAGGCAGAAAACAATACCCTTGTTAAGCTGTATGATTTGATTGTAGAACGTCAAAGTGAAGTCTTCGAGTATACCACTATTAAGTGTGTCGATATTGTGAGTGAACATATTATTGAAAGGTTAAAAGAAACGAAGGTTGAGTTTCAAGTGCGTTGATTATTGCAAGGGCCTAGTAAGAGACCAACCCACGTATTGAGACGTTGGTTAGGTGAATTAGGTCTTGGGTATTTGTGTAATCGAAGGTTTCGAGTGATCAAAGTTAAGGAGAGGTTCAGAGAACATTGATGGTTGGTGTGAGTAAACCGGTGAAAATTGTTAGTATTTTGAATAAACTATAATAAGGAAACAACATAAGAAACGAAGGCTTATCTGAAAATGGTGTATGAAAGCAAGGAAAGCCAAGATGGTTTAACGATGATGATTAGAAATATTGTGGAGATGATAACGGCGGAGGTTATGAGAAACCTGAAGGTCATGCGAAGAAAAGGTGTTAGCCATAGGCCACGTTTATGTTACGAATGCAGGAAACCAGGATACCTGGCCCGCAATTGTCCAGTTCAAAAATTTGGTAAAGGAAGTTTAGTGAAAAGCCTGAAAGTGAGTGATGTGAGATTTATGAGATTCATGAAAATGGAAAAAAGCACAGCAGTTGTAAATAATGTTGGTATCAAGGGATGTATGAATGATGATCAAAGGTGTAGTAAGAATGTTAGGAATAAACTGGGAGAGAAAAGAAAACTGAAAGTTAATTTAATCGGTCAAGGTAATACAAGCATGAATGAACGAAGGAGAATCAAAAACAAACTTAGAGGTTCTGATGGAAAGAAGGCATTCGGATATTGTCAAAAACTAGCAGAGTCGAGTCATGCTGATGGAACATGCAAAAGCAGGTATTGCCACAAAATGGAAATAGAACTAAAACAGATGAAAATAAGGCGTTTATACATCATCAAAAGGTAGCAGATGTGAATGAGATGAGGGGAAATAGCTCAGATGGTAGAGCGACGATGATTGATGCTAATAGAACATGCAAGAGTAGATCTTGCTATGGAAACGGAATTGGATTGGAAAAGGACGAATATAAAGCATCCATTCGTGACAAGAGATCTGCTAACGTAGGAAGGATTGATGGAACGTTTAGTGTTGGTGATTGCTATCAACATGGAACTAACGTCGAAAAAGATAAGACGTTCAAATGGTATTCTCTGCTAAAGATGGAGATTCGAATAAAAGAAGTAATCTCGAATCCTACCATGATGAAGATGTAGGTATAACCAAGGACAATAATGATGTGGTGGAAAAGTTGGTAAAAATAAATGGAGAATCTGCGAAAACGTCGATTAGGCTTAGTTCATCTTTGAATTTAATAAACATAAACTATGTGAAAAGGAAAGGGCTTACCTGGAGATGTTTGAACAAGGGATCAAGCATTGGTGGTATAGATAATGTTATTGGATGTGTTTCTTGCGCTGATGTTGTTGTGTGTGGTGTTGGTGTAAATCAGATGTTTTATATCGTACGTGAGTTGACTTCGGATGTAGTTCTTGGAATGCTGTGGGTTGCGAGATCTAGGTGCAACATTCAGTGGAAAAATGGCTAGTGCTATTATACAATTGAATCAGACTCCAGAAAAGCATCATTTGTAGTAAATGAGGATTGTGTGATAGAGAATAGTGAAGATAAGAGAAGCGATTTTATGGATATTAGGTGTATTAAAAGTGAATCGATGGAGAATGATGATGTCGATTATGATGAGAAAGAGAAAAGTGAAATCGTTAACATAATGGACTCTGATGAATCGAATCAAATGGGTAAAATGAAAGTTGAAACTTATCTAATGAGTTCCTAGAAGTTGGCGAAGTAATGCCTGAATTGAAATCTGCTGAAAGTGTGAGCGATGATGCGGAGAACGATAATAAAGGGGTGAAGCTGCAGATGGTAAAACGAACGATTCTAGAAATTGCTCTGAAAATGAAATGGAGAAGAAAAAGGAAAAGCTGACAGTATTTAATAATTATCGAAAATCTGTTGAAAATAAGCACGAAGCATCTGAATAGAGTCTGAACAGCACTGAATGTGATGAAATTGGCTACTTGAAAGTGAAATTGATTGATGAACTAAGACCGAAGATGAGAAATAGAATGTTTTTAATGATTAGTAGCAATATGAGCCGATGGCAATATCAAAACGTGAGACCTAGGTATCAAAGGTTAATGTCAATCAGGAGCATGTTATATCGAATGACATGAAAGAGATCAATTTCATGAAACGCTTGTATTTGGATCAATTGGCTAAGTGTGATTGCGAACATTTGGAAAGCATTGTCTTTGAAAGTCGTTTGGAGATGAGGAAGCTTGGGCGGATGGATGTTAGGGTGCTATAATGCTAATAATAGTGGAAAAAAAAAAATTTTAGTGTTTGTACATATGTTAATATTTAGGTATAAGAGTTAGTATTAGTTTAGTAATTCAGGTAGCATGAAATTAGATCATAGCGCTAGTGAATTTGTTGTTGTAACTTCAAGAACAAAGTTACTGGGGTTCTAGCTTGTGTCGTGGTGCTACGCGGTACCCATGTGACTAGTGATCAGGTACGTGTTGATCGAACGTAGTGATCTAATTAATGCATAATATATCGAGTGATCACGATTTAATTAAAAGTCTAAAATAGTGATTGCATGAACAATGTAGTAATCAGTAGCGATTAGTAATATGTATTAGTAATAATATATAAGGCATCGATCCAAATAGAGGAAGTGCCTAACTTTCGTTTTCGTTATATCTTTGAGCTATTCTTAGTGAATAAACTGTTATCTGTGTGAGTACATTGTTGGTGGTAGTATCTGGCACGATACTCCAGTCATCATATATATTGTCAAGCGAGTGAAGATTGATAGTAAAGATCTATGAATACACGGTAGTTTGGGGAACTCTGTGATACTTACAGAAAAACATCATATACTCTCGTTGTCCCCCTACTATTTTTTCGAGAAAAATTTTATAAAAAGTAGGTGATCTAGCTTATTCTTTCCAAAAAATTGACATATTGTTTACTTTTCAAATCGGGCAGTATTATTTATTTTTTTTACTTGTCACAACAAACATGTGGATATATATGGAGTAGTGAACCTATAATTACGTGTCTTGAATGTGGTGACTCAGATAAACAATACCTTGAGCTCACTAGTACGACTTTTTGATTTCTCTACGGTGTTGATATCAAAGAAATTTTCTTTTTTTGTTTTTTTTTTAGGTTTAAGTTTAAACATACTATGTATATAAATTAGAGTAAAGAATAGTTTAAATAGTAGTATATAATTTTTACAAAGTCTGACACAGGCTCATAATTGTAACTGTCTGGTGTGGGTAAAAAATCACATATTTTAGTTTAGTTTTCTCATTTTTCCCTTACCTTTTTTCTTTTCTTTATTTGTTTTTTTATATTAATCTTTATACCTCTGTATTTCTTTTATAAAATATTTTTCTTTTTCTTTCACTTCTCTATGAGAAGATATCATCAGATTAGCGATATCCTATTGTAGAGCAGTAGTCAGATGAGCCCTGATAGAATATTATCTTAATTGATCATATCTCTCCGGTGTGGCGTGGTCACCTGTAGATACGTGTAAGTAATCAGTTAGATTATACAAGGTAACCACAGAGTGTCAAACCTGTAGCTTTAATATTTTTGCACTTCTACAAGTGGTGTTTAATTAAATAAAGGTACTGGCACAATTTATCAAAGTGAAGCAAAAAAAAAAAAAAAAGTCTTAGTTGCTTATAAGATAAAAATAGACCAATTTAGAAAAAAATTTTTAATGAAAAAATTTATCAACTTATTCTTGGCAAATTCTTTAAATATTAATTTTAAAGATATAGTTCTTAATACAATATTTTAGTTTATA